TTTTAAAATTTCTATTTATAATCTTTCTTTAATCATTTTTAATCATTTATATATTATTTCAGGCTGAACTTATGCCTCCCTGTGAAGTAAAATTAGTTAAAAGAATGACAGAATTACTAACCTCTTTGGAAGAAATAGAACCAGCTTTACGAGATTCAATGAAAAGAGCAAGAGGAAAACTTCAAAAAGAATGGACTAATCTTAAAGAAGGGTATATTTATTTTGTATACAATATATCGCATAATATAATTCAATCATGATATCACATCTCATTAAACTTAATCTGGGAAATAATAATGATTTTAAAAGAGAAAAATAAAATGTATATATTTGATAAATATAAAATTTCTTAAAATTTCCTTTATTTATATTCCCAGATTAAAAATTTATCTTACCTGAAACCTCTTGAACTTGCTACAATTTGTACATGATCTGTAAAGTGGAACTTATCCACATTTTTTCAGTAATATTGTTTTCTTTATTAAGTGTGTATAACAGATAAGTTGCTGTATGTTGTAGCAGTGCGGAGGATCAGGACTCATCTGGGGAGGGTCTCGGCTCTAATTGGTGGGTTCTTGGATCGCAGGGCTGTCAATTGCCAACTTCAGGAGACGCAACGTTACAAGCGTTACCGCAACTTACCGTATCCTCAGCTGGCTCCCAAAACATCTCCAATAAAAACGACGAAGAAATCATTAAATGCACAGAACACAGTAAGAATGTCGAACAAGAATGTAAAGAACCTCAAAATGAGAATTCACAAAACGAAATACAAAGAGAACAATCTGAAAGAGACGAAAGTAACGCTCAAGAAAACACAGGAATTGAAGCAGAGACAAAAGAAGATTCAAGCGAAGAAGGTAGAAATGAAATAATAATGAATAATTAATCATAAACTATCGCATAATACAAATTTTTTTAATAAAAAAAATCATATAACATCATCAAAAAATTATATAATATTCATATAATATATATTATGTACATGATGTTTATGATATATTTACATTTTTTATATATATAATATTAAATTTATATTAAATTTATATTATAATATTAAATTTATTCTCTCTATTATATGATGATTTATATGGTTTATAAAATTTTTTCAATATAGATAATTCAATATAATAATCAAATTTTTTTGTTATTTTAAAAATAGAACATCAAACACGAAGAGTCTTACGAGCCCGAGGCGTTTCCTCATACACAGAACAATTTTATTCAGACGACGATATGGAGGAGAACGAGCTGGAGGAATGGACCGACTTTGAGGCCGTGTACGCGGCTCCCAGCACACAGACCAGTGCATCCACTCCACACTTTGGTCCGAAAGTCAGATATGCTGACGACAGGACAAACGAGGAGGAGGACTCAGACCAAGATTGGATTCTACCAAGCTCTCGCAAAAGGAAAAATAAACGTCCGTGTGAGTATGCTAATATAAAATCCGTATTTTGTTTTTAAAACTTAAAAAATTATCAATAATTGATAAATAATATATAAGTAATAATAAAATTTATTAAATATAAAATATTATTTATTAAATATAAAATAATATATAAGTATAAAAATTATGATGATTTATGTTTTTTAAAAAATGTATTTTTATTTATATGAATAATTAACATTTAAAAAAATTAAAAATGTAAAATTAAGGAATAAAATCATGAACAATACAAATTATATTTTTAGCTGCCAATCGAAGATTAAAATCCTTTCAACATAAACTACAAAATATCAAAGTTGATGCTCTTCAAGATGCAGCAGAATCAAAAATAACTTCCTCCTCTAATAATAAAAACAATGAAAAGGAACGTCCTAAAATCAAAGAAATCCAAATATGTAAACCAAAGAAATCGATCAATTCAAAGTCTTCTAACAATAATATAGAAGAGAACCAAAAGGCTATGGTAGAAAATAATTCTAAAGAAATAGTGCCTTCCACAGAAATAAATTGCAAAGTAGAAAATGTTGCAAGCGTACATTCGGAGCTGGACATTAAAGACGAAGGTCCGATCTATGATTCTGTACCAAATCAAATTGATAATAATTATGCTACAAATTTTAATTCTAATTATGTAATGCTTAAGGCTGATCATAATCCAATGAATTATTATGTAATGCAACCAAATTCCACAACTGTTGTTTCACAAAATGCAATTGTACAATCTGGACCAGTAGTCTCAAGTATCATACCACCAATTCAGCATGGATATTACGTACAAGGGGCGCAAAATTATATTATTCAGAATCCACAATCGAATTTCGTTCCTTCTCAACCATTTCAACCTCAAGGACCGCAAATGATAACACCACAACAATTTGTCAGTCATCCTGGTTATGTACCTTATATGGTATCTACAGCTCAACCTGGATATGCAACTACCGATTCACAAATTATTTCTCAAGATATATCTCAAAATACCTCGTTTCCAGTTCATCCTAATCCTGCTCCATTAACTAGACCTTCACAAAATAGGTATTCTATACCGAGACAGAACTATCCGCATCCTAATGGAGCGGTTATAAGAAGTAGTATGCCCATAAGAGGAAATATCTCACGGTCCAATAACTCTAGAACCACGAAAAATATTCAACAACAACGTAATACTACTATTAGAATGCAAAAACCAAAAAAACCACAAACATCTTCAGAAAATACTGGTCAAAAAACTACTTCTTTGATTGTTCTTAGCGATAGTGATGATGAAATTGAGATGATTATTACAGAAAAAACAAGTCACAATCCCGAGTCTGATGGGGAAAAAACAAAAACATCTAGAAAAAATACAATGCAGGCTAGGCAGAAACCAATGGTTACGTCAGATTTAACAATTAAACCAACAAAAGGTACAATTCCTCCGCAAATAATTCAACGTATGAATCAAGGAGGAATTTCTATAACACCAGTTAAACCTACACCACCGGTTCAAAATACTAATACACAATTAGTGGTAGTTGTGAATGAAACTGGAAGCCATTATGCCTTAGCACTGCCGAATGGAAGTAAACTGATTCTCACACCGGAACAAGTTGCGCAGATTCGAGCATCAAATGGTGGAAAACTCATCTTATAAAATTAATTTAATTTTAAATGAAAAATTTTTTCTTTTTTTAATGAATAGAATATATTGAAATAATACATTTTGATCTTTGGTTTACTTATAATATACTTTTGACATTGATGTTCCTACAGTATATAACAGAGATCTGTACAATATTTCTTGGATTCTATTTGTACGTAAATAGTAAAAACGATATATTAATTATAAAATAACGAAAACATCTATCTTTCAAATATCACATCACTGTTTCAGTGAATTTATTCCTGAAACATTTCACTTTATGCTTAAAAATTTACGCATAAATAATTTTGTGAGCTTTATCTATTTAAGAAAAGAAAATTTATAACACGTATTATACTTGCACGTTTGAATATATTTAATATATTTTAACAATGTTTTGAATATTTCTCTTTTCATTTATAATGTTAGAAAAATACTTGAAACCTGTGATGTCTATATCTTTTTGTATATTTTTGTTACACCATGTTGAAGCAATATTTGTATTAAATTATACGAATCTATTGGATATTCTAACGAGATATTAATTTTTGTCAAGATTAAAGAAAATTTAAAATATTATAATTTGTAAAAATCATTTTATAAGGTAAGAATATTATATTTTGCATATTTTATAAAAATATGAAATATTATACTGTTTTATATCTACAAGTTACAAATTTTTAATTTTCGATTTTGCAATTATGCATATTGTAAAAAATTATTAATTGCAAAATAAATTGTGGAGGGATATTTTCTATATTGTCCAACTTCGAATGAAATATCATAAATATATGTATATTATTATTATTGGACACTGTATGCATTTTTTAGTCAATAATATAATATGTAAATAATATATATTTATAGATAAATAGAATAATTTATAAAACTATTACTTGGCATTAAAATTACGAAAAGTTTTGGTGTAAAACAATCATTATTCTATAAATTTTAGTATCTAAAACTTTTGTAATATGGCTTATTAAAAACCAATGATACATAAAATATATGAAGTTAAAAATCTAGTAAATATTGTAAAAATTATTAAAAATATATACAATTCATTTGCATAATTATTAATAAATTAAAATAATTATATTAAATTGTTTAAATTGTTAAAGCAAATAAATGCAAGTGAGTTATATATATAATATTTTTAGTTTTAAATTTTTGTTATATCTCATGTATTTATTTATCAACAATTTTTGATGTGAACAAAATGTCATAATGTTATTCTGTTTATTATGCAATACATAAATTAATAATATTTTATGTACAAATCATATATTTATTATGTAATAAGAAGAAATTTCAATGAAATTTTCATTGATGAAATTAATTTTTTATTTTTATCCAAAATAATGAATTTTTTCCAAATATTCAAAACAAATATTTTTAATTTAACAAATATCATTTAAAAAAGATTTATTTTTTTCAGAGATTAATTATATTTAAACAAAAATATTATTTTATTTGCTAGAAAAAACTAATTATTAAATCATTAAACATTAAATTATATATTTTATAACTATTTTATAACTATTTTTTAAAATTTCGAATTTTAAAAAATAAATAAAAAATATAAAACAAAAAAGAATTTTAATAACGAACTGTTTTTTATTTCATATTTTATTTTATGTACATATAATAATTTACAAATGAAAATAGTATTTATTGCTATATGTCATTTTCTTGCTTTACAGCTTTACAAGCTGATATGTTTATATTACAAATATGCTATATTACAAAAATGCACTAAAAAGCTTTGTACACTTTACAGTGAATAGGAACGTTAAACATTTTAATTACAAGTTTGCTTTTTTTAAAATATGAATCACCAAATAACTGAATTTATTTACAAATGTCACTATTAAATATCATAATAGCTGAAAAATTAAATTATATAAATAATTAGGAAAATAATTAAAATAGTTAAAATCTGAAAAAAATATTAAATTGATCATAAAATTTGTCAATAATTGTATTATAAAAAAAATTATAAATTTATGAATAATTTTTCTTATCAATCATTATCTTTAATTTGATTCTTCTTCTTATAGATATCTTTATCAAAAGCAAGGAATCTTGATAAACGTGAACCATTGTATGGTGTTTCACTTCCTGGTGGATGTAATCGCATCTAAAACAAACAAAAAATATTTACAAAACGTATACATAAAAAAAGATAGAAGTTTTTTAAATTGATGATATAATTCATTTTCTTCTTTTTCTTAATTTATTCAAACATCATGAAATAAATATTACCTACCACAATGTATATATGATGTTTAATGTAAAATGTAGTCTTCAGGTTCATTTCATTCAAAATTGATGAAGTTTAAAAATAAATCAACACTTTTAATTAATAATTTCAGTTAACAACAAATTATATTTTTTATAAGTATGTAAACGAAATTTTATCATATTTTTAAAAAAAAATTTGAAAGCAAAGAAAACATTTTATAAATTAATATAAAAATAAATTCCTTTTTATGATTTTGTGATTGAACAATGAAATGATTTTAAATTTCGAATATAATTAAATCTTATTTTTATCATAAAATATTCATTTTATGTATACACAAATGAATCAAACGAAAGAACGAAACAAAATAATGCAAGTTAATGTGCAATCGGTTATTGGATATCGGTTATCACACATCATAATCATCGAAGCTTATTTGGAAATGTAATGATCAATTTGCCCAACTCCATTTGTTAGTTTTATTATTAATGTTATTATTTAAAAAAATATTACAAATTCCGGCCACCAAGCTCGGAAACTACAAAATAGCACCGGTAAAATCTTAATTTTAATATAAAGAAAAAAAAAATATTAAATATTTCATGTCATAAAACTTAAAAAAAAACTATAATTATGAAAATCAATTTTCTAAAAACATTCAATATTGTTACATGCTATAAGAACGTCTTAAATGTTTATATTAATGATTTAATTAATTGTTTCATTGTAATAATTAATTAACTGTTTTATAAAACTTATGTCTATTAATAAACTAATTGGCAGTTTGAATTTAGGAATCAAAAATATAATGCTTTGTAATTATGGGATTGAAGATTGCAAGCTTGAGCATTAGTGGAGAACCCGACATGACCATTTGCAAAATTGCACGCGATGTTCGATTGTGCAGCATCAATTTCTCATCTATTTCTCGACGAAGTCATCCATGGTATTCTCATCTCCCTCCGCTTTGTTTCTGAATCGCTTCTGTAAGAAAACAAAACCGACACCAGTCGCGTTACACGTGATGAATATGGTGTTATATTGATGATAATCGGATGATGCGTGCATCACTAATAAAACTTAGCTTAGCTTATTTTTTTTACTGTGATTTTCTGAGATTCAATTGGAATTTATATTTTAATTAAATTAAGGCATCCATCCTACATATTGATATTTATACATATCTTTCATTTCTCTCTTATTAAATTATATCATTTTCTATATTATTATATATTTAAAGATAATTTTTTCTTCTATTATTTTAATATATTTGAACAACATTTAAATAAATTCATGTAATAGAATTTTTTAATAACATAAATATTATAACAATTAATTATCTAATTCAAAGAAACATTAAGTCAACAATATTTAAAATTTAATTCTGATCATATTTAAATATTTTTTAGGAAAAGTTCGAATTTGACACAATTGTATTCATTTTTACTTTCATTCTTACTTTTTTAATTTCCAATTAAATCTCATTATAAGAAAGTTTAATCGCGTTAACGTGGAACGCGTGAAATGCAGCTGAAGCGCATAAGCTCCTTCTTAATAATTTAATTAAAACATTGTTTTTCCGTTTTATTTATCTGATCTATCCCATCTATCCCAACCGTGTATTATCTATACACATTCGAAAATTTCCCAATGTTCAACCGCTTTTGGTTGAGAAATTTCAAAGTCCATGACCTCATCGATGACTCACCATGATTCTGTATTTCTCTTTACACGCATATTCGGTTTCGTCTACATCATTATAACAATCGCTCTTGTAATCTGGTGGGATCGGTTTTCCCTCAAATTGGCAAAGTCTTGACAATGGTTTCGCGGTCACGAGCATTTTCTCAAAGCCAGTCGGTTTCTGTTGTGGACAGTAGAATACATCTGGAGTGTTTTTGTCGAAAACAATGCTTTTCCGCATCATATCACCAGCTTCTGTCGTCACAAGAAGTACCTGATGAAAGGAATTTTTCGATTACCATAATTATCTTTAATTAGTAAATTTTGTGAAATCGCAAGTAATCATAGAATTTTTCATATATTTTATAAATATATTTTTTTTCTAGGAATTTTCATTTGTTAATAACTTTGAATATAAAATTCTTAAAAATTTTAATAAAAAAAACTTTTGAAAGATGTCTCTGTAACTTACTTTTTAAACATTTTCGATTAAATATTTCTATTTTAGTTTATAAATATCAAATTAAAATATTTTCTCTTTTAAAAACTTGATATTCGATTTATCTTGTCATTTAACATGACATTCTTTTTTTTACATCATTAACTTTACTTTCCATTTGTGAAAGGATTAATATACTTTGAGTAATATGAATTTTACGCAAGAAAGCAAAGTATGCAATTTGCGTATGATTTCTTTCAGATTTTAAATAGAGCTATGCCAAAAGGAGAAAAAAGAAGAAAGAATAACGCGGGAAAGTTGAAGAAGGAAATTCGAACGTTAAATTACAAGGATGAATTTTCATTCTCACAACGATTTCTCCGGTTCATTAATTCGTTAGGAACAAATTAGAATGCTACGTGAACATTTGAGGAAGTATAAAAAGCAGGAAACATAAAAAAGTATAAGTTAAGGTACTTACGGTAAACAGAGCTATCACACTGCATATATATGTGATCCCTAAAAAAAAAAAAGAAAAACATGAATATATTACTGCTTGGAAAATGTAAAAAATATATTTTGAACAAAATAATTTTTCTTATTAATAATTTTCTTATTATATTATCTTATTAAAAAAAATTTTTAATAAAAATAATCATTATAAAATTGAGTATCAAACTAGATGACGAGTTTTGTACAATTATATATAATATTTTTATGCAAAAAATCATACATATAATACACACTAAAAAAAAATGATGAATTCATTTATAAAAAGGAATTAAATATAGAGAGTTTTATTATTAAAAAAAAATTAATAATTCAAACTGCTTAAAATATGTTATCACTGAGATATTAAACTCTTATTTATATTTAATTTCTATAGAAAATTTTTATATTCATTATTAATTCAACTTTTTTATTGTAAATAAATTAAAACTCACTTCTTTCAAAATTAACAAAGATATAAATCATTAAAGTTAAACATATGTTAGTGTCTAAATATTTTTGTGACTTACTGTATATGTACAATACTTGAAGAAAGGAAAGACAAAAAGATAAAATATATATTTCTTGGAAAAAAATTTGAAAAAATATATATATATTAAATTGATAATATATATATTATATAATAAATATATTATATATATATATATACACATCTATTTTATTATATATATTTTTCTTTATATGTATTTATATTTATATATATATTTATATAATAATAATACGTTAATTATATACATATTTAATACAATAATAATAATACATAATGTAATAATATAATATATATCATAAATATTATATAATAAAAATACAAAGTAAATAATATAAAGATATTAATATTATATTCATGAGAATATATTAATATTCTTAAAAGAATCAATTTTAAAAACGAAAACAAATAAACGAAAAAATTGATATATAAAAATGAAGCTTATTTATTAAGTTATAAACAATTTAAATTTCTGTTAAATGAAGTGAAATAGATATAGAATTCTATTTCTATTTTATTTTATCTAATTGAAATTTCAATCATTTATAATTCCTTAAATAAACTTCGATATTTTTGCATAACAAACCAATGTATTTTATGTTTGCTTTAGCTTCTATAATCGATATTAACTAACTCATAAATATATTCTTATACTTTATGTATATAATGAAAAGTATATAAATTTTTTATGAAATGAAGAAATGAAAATGAAATTTAATCTCGTTTTTATTAAAGAAATATTATTAAAACAAAACAAAAGAGTTTAATTCTGAATTAACTTACGCAAGTACTAACTTAGCATTTTATATACGGGCAATGAAATATTTAGCATTTACTTTTATAATACTTATCCGTAAACAAAATTCCATTTTTATTTCATTCAAACATTCTCCAAGAATTAAATTTCATATGATGCATTCTTAAATAGTTATTTACTTTATTAAAATTGAGATTTTATTAAATTATCTTTTTTTTTAAATGGATATTTTTTTGATATTGATAATGATAAAAGTTAAATATTTGGCTAAATGTAGTTTTGATTACGATTTGATCCTTTAAATGACAATGTTCCTATTAAATTAAAGCGATTATAAATCTGCCTTATAAATTAGAATTTATAGAAGAACATTTTTTTAATTAATTTTTTAAATTAACAATCTTTTAGCTATGGAAATATTTTTAAATGATTTGACTTAAAATTTAATAATAATAATTGAGTTAAAATATTAATAATAATAAAAATACAAAAGAAATCATGAATTATTATTATTATTTATTTATCAACGATGAAATTTTATTATTTATACGAATGAAGTAAATATTATCATCAGGATTCTAATAAGTTTAGTAAAATATTTATAATTTTAAAAAATCTATAAAATGGAAAAATGTTACATTAAAAAAAAAAAAGTTAAAATTTTTCGAATTAATTTTACTTATGGGATATGTAATATAAAAAAAAAAAATTATAGATGAATATTGAAAAACTAATATTATATTGAAAACTTTATTTTCTTCAATAATATAATATAGTAGATTTCGCCAAATATAAAAATCATGACACTTTTCAAATAACAAAGAAATAAACAATTTTCGAAAAGTTATATAAAATTCAAACAATTTTCGAGAATCATTTGATTCCAAAATTCAATGTTATTTATAAATGAATTATCTCTTGATGGAGACATGATTTCATAAAGAGAACTTGCTAATTTTTAATCAAAATCATATACAAGAGTATTTCTGGATATATTAGTAATCTAAAAATAATTTATACTTAAAAAAATTATTATTGAAAATAATATGATTTACACTATGATTTTTATGACTTCATACTTATACTTATGACATCATGTCTATAAATAATTTATACAATACAAATATGAATACAAATAAAAATTTTAAATTGGAGAAAAAAATAAGTATATATGATATGATAAAGATGAATAGATATTGAAAGTGATAAAATAAAAAAAAATGAATTGAAATAGAAAAAATAATTTTAATTCAGATTTTAATCCAAATTATTTGAAAATCAAATATGAAAGGATGATTTCAACTTTTCATTCAGCTTAATTCTCAATAAAATAGATCAAACAATTAAAATTGTTATTACCATACTCTCATATACAATAAATATATAAGAAGAATGAATGAAACATGAAAAAAAATCACCATTATTTATTGCATTATCAATAATATAGAAAACTAAAATTAATATATTATTTTGAATTAAAAATAAATACAAAGAAAATAAAATACAAACTATTTTTTAAAAATATAGCTCATTATTAGCTGGATTCATGAATTTAAACTTGTATAAAATACTGTAAATATCAAAGAAATATATTTTAGTAATAAATCGAACATTTCAAATTGACAATTTTCTAAAACTATAGATTTTCTATAGATTTATAAAAATATAAATTACGTTAAAATAGTATCGAAAGAAATCAAACATTCTTTTAAAGTTTGCCACGTATACACTGTCCACAAGAAACACAGTGAATTTTGAAAAATAAAAATACGAAAGAATCTGTTTTGAACTCACTATTGCATTATTAATGAATATATATTATTTCTATTATTTTATAAAAGAAAATTATTGTTTTTTTCTTCTATAATAAATTATTAAATAATTATTATTTTATTTTTATTGAATCAAAACTATTTTTTATATAATATTATTAAATTGAAATTATTGATGATGGTACGATAATATAGATAAAAAATGTTATTAAATTACAATTCAACTTCATATATGTATATATTATGTATTAAGTAAACGTAAATTATAAAAACTAGGTCGCTAAGAAAAAAGTCAATGCCGTCTATTTACACAATACACAATTCCTCTTTTCAATCAACTTTATTTATAATATCGTCATTCAACTTCATTAAAATTATTGATTGAACTATTTCAAAAATATGTATAAAGTCAATATTACTAATAATTTAATTAAAAAATATTTACATAAAATAATTTTAAATTTAAATCTTATATCAATATTTTCAAATTATATATCATAATAAAGATGTTTGTTCATCAAAATTTACAAATCAACCAAAAATTATAACAACAAATTTTTATTTGAAAAATCAAAAAAATAAGTTATTAATATGAAAATTAAAAGAGAGAGAATTAAATGGGAATAAATATAATATAAAAAGAAGAAAAGAGAACTAGTTATATATACATATGTAAAATCGGAATTATCTATTCATTTTTCAAATATTTATAAAAGAAGAAAATGAGAAATAGATAACATTTCATTTCATAAGACAAATATCTTTGAACAAGAAAATTAATATTTATAAAAAGCATATGATAATATAAGTCAAGAGGAATTATTACAATTCCCTTGAACTGATCTTTATTCTGAATTTATTTAACTATATGTGTCAAGTAGGAGGATACAGACATTATTTTTATCCGTCAGATCTATTATTGATTTTAAGCAGCGCTCAAGCGCGTCTTCTGCAAGGACGAGGTCGGTTCCGCGTGTTACGTTCGATCTGGTTATTCCTATTTCAGGATACTGATCTCGTTAAATCGATACCTTTCTGACATTTTGTTGATATAACACATATAATAATATAAAACTCGAGAATATAAAATAATAATCAATTAAATATTCATTTTCTTATTAAGTCATTAATAATTTTTAATTTCATTAATTTCGTTATTATACACAATATATATATAAGTATACATAATATATATAAAGTAAATCAATGTAAATGAATCAAATCAAATATTGAATAAAATTAATATTATATTTAATATTAATCTAGATATTATATTGCAAGTATAAATAGACTTAATAATATAATTAATATAATAGAATTAATAAAAATAATAATATATAGATATAATGATTATTTGATTTAATTAATTAAAAGTAAAAAATAAGTTAAAATTGAAACAGCTAATTCTCAATTTCTGATTATCATGTTCTCATTCTTTTCGAGGTCAACATTAAAGTGTAAAAGTATACAGACATTACGAAAGTGATCGTTGATTCATCAAAAACTGGAGGCAATCATTATGAATACAACTTAATTGTTTCTGAGAAAGATAAAACGATGCAGAAAGAAATTATTTATAATTTTCAAAATATTTTAACATGACATTTTCTTCATGACATTCATCTGTGACATTTAAAAGGTATAGTTCGTTCATTGCAATACAGTAAAATTAGTATTATATCGTTCTTTCATTTCATAGAATTATGTAGAATAAAAAGTATTTATTTTTAACTGACTTTTCATTTTTTAAAATATTGATATATAATAAAAATTAAATATTAAAATATTTTAAAAAAATATCACTTTTTTATTATAATTATTTTCAAAAATAATTATAATAATTAATTATTTATGAATGAAAAATATTATTAACGAATTTATTAAAATTTAAATGACATATTAAGTTTTTTAAATAGCAAATATTATATCAATCAATTATATAATTCTTTAATTATTTTAAATCCATTTGTATAATTATAGATATTTATAATTTTAACTTTTTTATTATTAATTTAATATTGAAATCTAACATTATCAAATAAATTTTATAATAATTAAATTTAATAGTGATATTCAAAATATGCAATACTATTATTATATCAGAAAAATGTAAGTAAAATATCTAATATAATGTAATATAGTGCAAGTAAAATATCTAATATAAATAATATAATATAATATAAATAATATACTATAATAATATATGTGCATACCTAAAAGAAGACGCAAGACATTATGCGTGGGTTTCACCTTTTATTCTCTGTTTTCACTGCCGAAACAAATCTCGATGCGTTTTAGCATTTCAACATCGAATGCAATAAAAATATAAATTTGTCTATATCGATTATATTAACATGAATAAAATTAAAACTTACCCATACTGATAAATGTACTTTACACGGGCAAAAACACCTGTTGATCCACGCGAGGCAACGTCTCTTCGTTGACTGAGATTGCGGCAGATTTGCGCTCCCCGCAGGCTCTGAAAGTATATGCCGTTATGTTGTACAGAATATATCAAAAATATCAGAGTAACAATATTCCAATCTTATAAAATTAACTTAATTTTATAATTGAATATAATGAGTATAGTAAAAAGAATAAAAAGAATAAGATATTTTGAATGAAATGTATCCAGAAAAGGCTTATCGTAAGAAAAATAATAATAGATATGATATATAATTATATTTATTATATATATTTAAAATATAAAAATCAATGACAAATAAAATATTTATTAACAAATTTTATTGTTAAAATTAATTTTGTAGAAAATATATAGATACATTATATAATATTTAAAAAAAATATAGAAATATAAAAAAAAAGTATAAAAATATTAAATTAAAAATAGAAATATTAAATATTTTATATATGTAATTATATGTATATTCATGTTATAATTGTCATTGATTGTAGTCATTGATTATAAATTTAGGAGAATTTAAAAAAATAAAGTAGGTGTCAAGTGGATAGCTTGTCCTTTCTATATTTGATAGTATCATCAATTTATAATAAATACTGTTTTTAAATAGGTTGTCTTCTAATTAGGAATATACAAACAGTTAGTTACACGTTTTATTTTTTACTACATATTTTATTTCTTTATTTTTATATAATATTTACTTTTTACATAAAATATATATATATTTTTTATATTTAATTTGCAAAAAATACAAGAAATATGAAAGTAAATATGGTTAATTTAAAAAATAATCTTGTGAAACTTCTTTGGAAGAGGAACTTAAAATATTATAAATATATTAGAAAAACTATATATTAGCAGCCTGAAATAAAAATGAATTCATTAAATAGATTTCATATATATATATATATATATATATATATATATAATGACATGTTTTTTTATTTTTTATACCAATTCATCAAGATCAACATCTGAGGTATCCAAAGATAAAATTGAATCTTCTTTATAAAAATTATTTTCAATATCAACTTTATCTTCTATTTTATTACAATCTTTAGTATCAGAATTATCATCGATCTGCATGTTATCTTCATTTATATCACTTCTGGAAATATATCACATTTATTAAATAAAAATATATATCATATTTATCATAATGTGTAATTCGTACTTTTCTTTGGCCTTTAAATCTATATTTTCTAATCGAAATAGCTGTGCAATATTCTGCATATGAGATTTACTTCTTTCTTTTATTAATGGAGCTTCCAAAATTTTTTTCAAATAATTCTCCATAGGTGGTAATGGTTTATCTGGATTAATGGCACGATATGATAATATATGCCATCTATGCTGTATTGCAGGATTTGGAACACATCCAGGTAAAAAATATTGATTTCCATCAACTTCATAACTATCCCTGATTATAAATATACAATACTACAGAAAATACAAAATTATATACTTATTACAATATACCAAAAAAAAAAAATATACTTACTGTATATCATTTAACATTAGAGAATTTATTAAATTATCTACAGCTTCATTTTGTTCATTCGATAATTGTTTAATTATAGATTTCATAGGTCTTGATTCTATTAATCTTTGATCTTCTGCAAATGCTAATTCTATTTCTATTAAGCACTATATAAATACAAATAATCTATTTTATATAATAGTAAAAATTAAAAAATAATATAATTAAAAAAAAGATTTTATGATACCCATGGTTCATCAGGAATATCAATACATGGAAACAATGCAACCATTCTAGGAGTGTTATTATTTCTGAAAACTTTTCTCACAATAGCAACTGACTTTGTTTCATGCATTGCTTGTACCAAACTATAAAATGGTTTTGTTACATTCTAAGAAATCAACATAAGTATATTAATTCGCAATTATTTGATATAAATGAAACAATAAGACATACAACATACACTTTTTTCACTTGAAGGTAAAATAACATGTGTTGCACTTTTATAAAAATGTTCCAAATCAATATTATTTCTATCTGTAAAACCGTAAATTTTATAGCTTTTCATCCCACTTTTATAACTCATCTTATCTTCTAATTCCTCTATAATAAAATAAAGTATATAATAATATATATAACATTTTACAATAACAAACAATATAAACAATTTAATATATACTTTCAACTGGAATAAAAGTTCCTCCATATTTATATCCTTTTATAATTTCATCCTTTGCATAAGAATTTCTTTGTCCATCCAAATATTCAGTTTTTGTTTCAAGTTTTTGATTACCTTTTGCTTTTTTCCATGTTGGAAATTTTTCTATATCTATCTAATAAAAATTTCATGATTTATTATAATAATTATATATAGCATATCTTCCTGATGTATAATTTCTCCTTACTTTAACATAACTAACAATTGGTATTTTTTTATCAAGTAATTGTAAATCATAATAAGTTGGAAATAGTTTTACTGGTGTTTCTTCATAAAATTTCAAACTTGATATAGCATCATCAAATATTATATGTTGACCATTAATCTAAAAGATAAAATAAATATAATGATAATATATGACAAAATATTATTATGATAATTAATATATACAATAATTTAATAAAATATATAAAACCTGATCATGAACATCCTTCAAAAGCTTTTTGCTACTGTTAAGAGAAGTCAAAGATTTATCATGCAGTAGATTTTCTGCTCTAAAAATTACAAAAAAATTAAATTATGCTTAATAATTCATAAAATGAAATTAAGGAATTTATATAAAATATATTCATTACATGGTGATTAATTGAATTTTTTCTTCAAAGAGTTTATTTGCGATTAATTTTGCTTCAAATTTTGAAATAATATTTGTTTCTTCATTAAAATCAGACATCAAAATTATTTTCCTTATAGAATTATCAATACTAAAATAAGAAATATATCATAATTACTATTAAAATATACATAAATTATAATAAAATAATATAAAATATATAATATATTTAAACATACACATTTTGTTTTATAAATTCCACTGCAGCATAAAGTGCTTCAACCCAATTATAACAATATTTTGTACTTTTTAAATTCATGCATTTTCTTACAAAATCCCAATTTGCAACCTGAAAATCTGTGAATTCTTCTATATATTTTGAATTAAGATTATTTTTTGTAATCGAGGAACCCATCAACATTATTGCAACTTCATCTTTAGGTTTTAAAAAAATCTACAAAATAATAAATATTAATGGATACATCAATATAAATAAGATTAAATTTAATTTTTATAATACCATTTTTTCAATTTTTCTCTGTGCAATATGCTTTGCTTTTTCAACTAATAAAGAATTATTTTCTACATTTGGATTTGTTACTCCAATGTTTAATAATAATACTAATGATTCCTAAAAATAACAGTAATATATTATTTATTATGTAATGTAAAAAAATTTATATTTATATACTTAAGTATAAATTAAAAAATACGAAGTTTTAGTTAATTAAAAGTTTTAATTTAGAAAAAATTAAATAATAGCAACTATATATATACAATAACAAATATATGTATACTATATTACTACAAAAATAAATAAATATGAAATATAAATTTAAATATAACAAAATATAACCTTTCTTATTTTTGAAGACATTTTATACGATTATAGTTAATATGTATAGATTTTGCTTGTATTTAAAAATGCTAAAAATTAATCTCAATTAAAAAATAGAAATTTAATTATTGTTTCAGAAAAAAATTCTCAATCACTAATATAGAAAAAAACGTATGATCTTTATATGATACGTTTGATGTGTAATGTACTATAAATTGAAATGCTCAAAATTTCTTTGATAATGTATATTATATTGTATCATATAAAAATTTAAATCAATATATATAAAATATATAATCATATAACTTTATAATTCTTTAAAGATTCATTAAATGAAACAATTATTATAAAATAAATTGTTAATTATTAATTACTTTATTGTTATTAACATAAATATTTATTATGTACATTTTTAAAAATATATAATACATTAATAAATGATGTATATTCTAATTTTTTTAATAATAATAATAATAATATCTCTAAAATATTAGTTATAGTTTCAAAAATTTTTTAAATATTAAAGAATATTATAAATTTGAACAGATAATATTTTTTGTTATTTTAAAATTGGTCGTTAGGGGATGTAAACTTGACAAACAAAAAGCGCTAAATTGCCGCGGATATCTTATAATATTCAATTTCATAAGAAGAAAAGTGATCTTGAAATAAAAGGAATGTAATTGAGTTTTTGATGCCATACTTATAAAAACGCATTAAGAAATGAAATTTTGGACAATCATTGCTGTTATAGTTGTAATATATATGTTCTACAAAGATCATCAGCGAAAAAAAATTTTAAAGCTTTTAACCTAAATTAAACTTATTTAATAATTCTTCAAAGTGTGTAAAGTAAACGTTAGTTTACCAGAAAAGGCGCGTACTGCAGAATTCATAACATTTACGAGAATGAATTTCTATGTGTTTGTTTAAAATTAAGTGCAATCTCTTCAAGTGCTTGAAACTTTAATATTTTGAAATCACAAAATATAATTATCTTTTAAATTCTTATATTTTTTATGACACTCGTAATTAATGATTTTAATTTATATTCTAAAATAAAAGTTATTATATTCATTTAGGTTATTTTTATTAAGTAAGATACTTTTATTTATCGTATTTTCTCTTCAATTAAACTCTTGGTTTCGATTTATGTTAGTTTCTTCTCATAGATTGTTAAAATACCTTCTATATAATCGAATTAAAATGGAATTAAACACACAAATTTCGTGGTCTCAATTAACAGAAGAAGATGATGCTCTTCTTAATGAAGCCATTTGTATGAGTTCAAATGAATTGAGTAAAATAGTAGACTCAAATAAAGAAGATCTAAAAAGCAAAAATTCATTAGAAAACAAATCTTGTACATCTAAAACACATAATGATCAGGAAAATAAAGAAGGTGTTAGTTCAAATGTAGAAATTGATAGTATGTCTGAATTCATAGAAAATCAAACAAATAATGCAATCAGTATAAAGTATGAAGATAATATAAAAAACAAACCAGATGATGGTTTTCGTAAACGTATTAGGGAAAATCAAATAAATAATGAAGATGCAAAAATTTCTCGAATTAGACGTAATAGTGATTCAAGTTCTACTACAAATTCTTCAGATAGTGGTAAAAGACGAGTAGAATATGAAACAGATCCTAGAGTATTAGCACGTAGGCAAAAAGAAATAGATTATGGAAAAAATACTATTGGATATGATAGATATATTCAGGCTGTGCCTAAGTAAGAATTTTATGAATTAAAATATTATTGATAATATACATTTTCTTAAGAACTATTATATTATATATATATTTTAGAGAAAAACGTACAAGAGAACATCCAAGAACACCTCCAAAGTATATTAAATATAGTAGAAGAGGATGGGATAGTATGGTAAGATTGTGGAGGAAACAACTTCATCAATGGGATCCTCCGCAAGATAGCAATACTGATTGAAATAAATTTATGTTCAAACTTTATTATGCAAATATATTTCTATGCACATTATAGTTCCACGATTTTTACATTTGTATAAAATTTGATAGATATAACAGAATTGAATGAACAAAATGAAATATAATGATTATATGATTCTTGGTATATTCTTACATATAATAAATTCTTATATGTATTTAAAAAGTCAAATCGCAATATAAATAGATAAATAAAAAGTAAATGTAACTAATGCACTCAAAATATAAAATTTTACATTATATGTAAAATTTCTAGAATATGTAAATAGGTATTTAAATGTTTAGCAATAAAACACTAAGAAAAAGTATTTTCAAAATTTTTTACATATATAGAATAGTATACAGAATTAAATACATATTGTCATTATTTATATATACTTTTAAGTTATATAAAATGAAGATCACTTGACACTATATTGAGTTTCTAACTGTTTTAAAATAGTTTCAAGTTTTTGACTTGTTTTTTCCATTTCATCAATTCTTTTCATTAATCTTTCCTCTATATCTTCAAATTTCTTATCAATATATGTTACAATATCTATATCATTTGATGTAATATTTTTACCTATAGATTGTATCATTTCTTTTCCATTATCTTTATGAACACTTTTATTTTTTGATGAATTCAAAATATTCATATAACATGATTGAACATCATTTGTGGTATTGTTCCCTTCATTATTAAATTTACTTAAAAAGTTTTTTATTATTTCAGGATTAAATACTTCTGTAGAGAAATTTTTAGCTTCGTTAATTGACTCTGTTAGATAGAGCTTTATACCATATATCCACATAATTGAATTTTTACTTTTTGTTTTTGTAAACTAAAATGAAAAATTTTAATTATATACATTTCTTTGCAAAGTTTTAGCTATTAGTATGCATACTATCTGTACCTTAATGCTAGCTTCTGTAGCATGTGGAAAAATTGCTGTTTCTGCAAAATAAACTGAATTATCTTCAAATTCATCTATAAATTCTGCAAACTTTGTTGTTTCATATTCTCCAAATTGTTTGAAAAATTCTAATACATAAGCTTCAGAAACTACTGCAATCTGTGAGATTTTTTGACCATTAGTTAATTTTATATCTAACATACATGGTTCATTGTTGGAATCGGTTGGTTGTAAAGATATACATGTATTCAAAGAAACAATATCTTCAAAATTAGTTCTGTAAAGAAATTCATATTTATTTCATTTAAAAAAATATGAAAATATTAATTTATATAATTATATAAAATTTAAATATTTTTAATAAGATAATAAATAAATGATTTTATAATAGTTGTAAAATATAATTTAATAAATAATAAAATTTTATAATAAATTGGAATATTTATAATTATTTATATTATTTATAATATATAAATATTATTTTTAAATTTTTTAAGTTTTATATTTAAATACAAAAATAATTTAAATAAATATATATTTATTTATTTATTTAAATTATTTTTTACATTTATTTTAGATTTATTTAGATTACTTTTTAAATTCTAGAGACGAAGATTTCACTGTGAAAGTATCACAAAACTGTTTATTGTTGCTGATCTGCCAGTTGCATGAGATTTGTAAAAAATTTGTATCCAATTTCAAAGAAGAATCGTCAACCTTCTGATTTAAATTAAGTTCCATATTATATGCCATTCTTTCAATAAATTAACACGTGTTATTAACCAATGACAAAAACTATTTGTTATTTTCATATATATGTATATAATATATAATTTTAGATTAGATTTAAAACATTAATACATTTAATTTTCATAAAGGTTATTTTACATTTCACTTCAAAAGAATAATTTTTTTTAAATGATATAATTAATCATTAATATATAAAAACTATAGTCCAATCAGAAATAATTATTTCATATTTTAATAATTATTAAGCACTAAACACTTAAACCGATCGTGTTTTTATACTTTACAATCAATATGATGTAAATAAAATGAGAACTAATACAATGGCGCGAAATATTTTATTGACCAAAAAAGCAACTAAGAAAAATTAAAAAAATCTACATTTGTATATATATATTAGTTAAATTAGTATATCATCATTATTTAAATAATTATAATTTCTTAATTTATATAATATAAATATGTACAATCATAAATAACGTATAAAATGTTTTTATCTAACATTTTGAATAAAGTACTCGTACAATTAAAAAATACGATAGGTGGTGGGGGCTTTCAGTTGAACCAGTTGTGCAGAAATATTGAAGAGAGATCTGTGCTCACGAATCGTGTGCTTATTTCGTTTTTACGTGGAGTTAGCTCTGGTAAAAGAATGTCCAAATATACGATTGTAATGGTACGTCATGGAGAAAGTGAATGGAATAAATTGAATTTATTTTGTGGATGGTATGATTCCCATTTATCTGATAAAGGTAACTAATTTTTCATAGATAAATTTCAAGGGCAAAAGGTCATACGATTTCGAATAATGAAATGGTTAAGTTTCTTTTCCTTCGCTTTTTAATTTTAAAAATTGATATGCGTAGATATAATAAATAAAAGTTATATTAATATTATAATTATTTTATACTTCTCATATATAAAATTAAAAAAATGAATAAATGTATGATCTATATAATTCAACATTATTTTCAAAAATATAACTAAATTTATATAATTATTAAAAATATAAGATATAAATACAAATTTATTTAATACAATAAATTTATTAATTAATTTTATTATAATAAATTATTTTATTATAATAAATTAATATTATATAAATTATATAAAATATAATTATTCAAAATTATAGGTAAGATTGAAGCAATTTCAGCAGGAAGAGCAATCAGAGACGCAAAGTTCACTTTTGATATTGCTCATACATCATTATTATCAAGAGCTCAAGATACTCTTAAAGCAATTCTTAAAGAAATAGGACAAGAAAACATTACTGTTCAAAAGACATGGCGATTAAATGAACGTCATTATGGAGGTTTGACTGGTTTAAATAAAGCTGAAACTGCTGCTAAATATGGTGAAGAACAAGTTCAAATTTGGAGAAGATCCTTTGATACACCTCCTCCACCTATGGAACCAGATCATAAATATTATGAAATAATAGTAAAGGATCCTAGATATGCAAATGATCCAAAACCAGAGGAATTTCCTAAATTTGAATCTCTCAAATTAACAATTGAAAGGACATTACCATATTGGAATAATACTATTATTCCTCAATTAAAAGAAGGAAAAAGAATTATTATAGCTGCTCATGGAAATAGTTTGCGTGGCATAGTTAAACATTTAGATCGTAAGTTTTTATTTTTATAAAACAATAAGTTTTTTTATATATTATATTAATATATTATATTATAATATTAATCTTACATTTTTTTCAGAAATGAGCAACGATGATATTATGAAATTAAATTTACCAACTGGTATTCCATTTGTTTATGAATTAGATGAAAATTTCAAGCCTGTTGTATCTATGAAATTCTTAGGTGATGAAGAAACTGTAAAAGCTGCAATGGCTGCAGTTGCTGCACAAGCAAAAGTTAAATAAAATTAAAAATTCCTATTATTATTATAAACAAAAGATGTTTTTCTAGTTTCATTATTATTAAAAAATTATTTTATTGTTACAAAATATATATGCAGAAGATATTTATAAATGAGAAAAAAATGGGAAAATAGTACATAACTATTATATTTTCAAGCTTCTACATATTGTAATTTATGTCATTAATTATTCATTAATTGTTCATTATTTATATAATTATTTATAAAAACTCATTATAAAATATAAATTTATAATTATTAAAATGCATTAAATTTAATTTTTTTCCTTGACAATTTAATTAATATTATATATAAATACATAAATAAATATATAAAATTACAAATATTTGTAAGTTATTAATTTTTTTGAAATGAAAATTAAATTTATAAAATATATAATCATAAAATTATTAAAGAAATTTAAAATGTTATCAGCAATAAATGAATATTAGTAGCACATACTAGTAATATATAAATAATGTAATAAAATAATAAAATAAAGTTGTCTTTCATAGTTATATTATTATATATTCAAAAACTACAGAGATTACATATTATAGCTTTTCTACAATTAAATTAAAGTTTTTTTTATTAATTTATATGTTATAAAGAATTTTCGAGATTTATTTCAATTTTTTTTTCATATTTTATTAGTTACACAATTACTATACAGAATGTAAAGAAAATAAGTATTAATCAAATGAAATAAACTAAAAGCAATACAATAGATAAATGTTAACATATAAGAGTTTATATTATATTTTATAAACATAATACAGATAAAATATAAAATAAATCTAAAATTCAATATATTTTTTTCTTCATATATCCCATATCTTAGAAACATTAGGACCTTAGCATTAAACTTTTTACCATTTTAAAACCTTCAATATATTAACAATCTGATACAAAATAAAATTACAAAATTATAAAAATTATAAAATTAATAATGATTGGAATTAAAACTTCATTTTCAACTAAATGTAATATAAATTTATTAATAAGAAATTCATCAATTCTATTACAAATTATTTTATAATAATAAAGATTATGTTTTATATATGATAAAAAAAAAATTCTTTTTGAAGTTTACTATATATATTATAGTTTATTATATGTTAATTTTTATCATAAGATTGATTTATTGATATGATATGTATGATTATATTTATATAAATTGGTAATAAAATTGATTATAAAGTAATTAAAATGATTTCATATTATTATATGCTTTTGTTACAAATAATTGCTATTGAATATGAATTAAAAATAAAATTTTATTTTGCAATTATTTCAACAAAATATTTTTAAAAATTAAAAAAAATATTTTTATAATATATTATTTTTATAATATATACATATATAATATAAACATTATAATATATACATATTTATAATTTATTTTTTATTTTTTATTTTTTATTTTTTATTTTTTAGATATTTACTTATAATTTATATTTTAAAATTGATTTTAGAATCATATTTTGAATTGATTACAACATTAAATTAATTTTTAAATCATTCTTGTGATAAAAATTAACATATGATAAACTATAATATAGTAAACTTAATATATAGTAAACTTCAAAAAAAAAATTTTTTTTTTAATTTTAGAATCTGAATATTTTTTAAAATATTTACAATGTATTATGATCTTTTCAAATATTTTTCCAAAATAAACAATAGTCATCTAATTTGAAATAATTACAGTTTTATTTTTCTATAAATCTTTATATCATAATGATAGAATGAGATGACATTTTTTTTAAAATAACATTGTTATTTAAAAATTAATTAAATATCAACTTTATGATTTGCCTATTTCAAATTACTTATATTTTATATTTCTTCTTTTGTTTAAGAAAAAAAACAAAAAAACAAATCAAATACTATATCTGATTTATAATAATTTGACTAGTCTCAAAATAATGTAATACTTATTTTAGAACACTACTTAATGTATTAAAATCTTTATAAGTGATATAATATATACTTAAAAATCATTTATATATATAATGATTAAACATTAAAGAATTAAATGATAAATAAATGTGATACATATATAGCATTAAGAATTAAATATGTTTTGTAGATGCATATAAAAAATTATAAAAATAATTTATAAATATTTTTAAATATTGCTTCATATTTGATAATTTTTTAGATAACTAATTTCATGTTTTAAGAATGTTTTACAAAATTATAAACAGAAATATTTAAATGAATCTTCAATAATATTGTTTTTCGATAAAATGATTCAAAATTTTTTATTCTTTTTCTTATTGAATTAAACTTTTATTTGTTTAAATTCTGCACTAAGCAGTGTTTCATATTTAAATTTAGCTGTGTCAAGAATGCAATATATACAGAAGAGATATAAGGATAAAAAATATATTAAATGATATATTTATTTTATATCATAATTATAGACTACATATAAGAATAAACCAAGTTTATGGATTTTCGAGAATCAAATTTTGAATTTTATAAAACTCTTCATTTTTAAGAAATAAAAAATATTTGACTTATCAAATATTTGCCATTTTATGTAAATTTGAGTTTTTAGATTTATTATTATTTCACTCTTGGATAAATTATTCAAACTAATATTTTCATTTTTAGGAATATTAAATAATAAAAAAAATAGAAAAAAATGTACACATAAAAATATTTGCAGATATGATAAAGTGTGCTATTATGTTAAACTTCATAAACAAAAATCTTGTGTTGAATGTTAGATTAGGATTAAAAATGTTAAACAGGAAAATTTAGTAAATAAAAAAGTAGCTCACCATCAAGATTGATTTAACTTTGATATTTGATAATTATTATAACGAATATAAATATGTTAACATTGTTAATATTAACATTAAACAATATATAGCGTTTAATATATTATAATATCTATATATATCATATTTCAATGTGTATTATAATATTAAAATTTTTTAAATATATTCTTTATTAATATTTTGAAAACCAATAAATTTTTTAAGTAAAATTTTATCAGTATCAATATGAAACTTTATCCATTATTTATTATATAATTATATATATATATTATCCATTATTATATAATAATTAATATTAATTAATCAAGAATAATTATTGTAAAAAAAATCCGAGGAATTTCACAAACTTAAATTTTTCTTTCTTACTGCTATCGCTAAATAATTTTAGATAATTAATTGTTTTATAATTTTTTATTGTTTTAAGACATGTATCATGCATTTAATTCGCTACATTTATCAATATAAAATATATAACATTTATAACTCCCGCCAGAATGAATGTTCAGAATCCCACTTATAACCAGATTTTGTTGGTAACAATGTGAATGACACGAAAATGATAATGGGACTCTAAAACTAAAATTTAGATCACAAAAATAAATTGCATGATTAATCTATTCTTATATTTAATCTGTGGTTATGTATCGCATATTAATGCAAAATGAATAATAAATTTTTATATTAAATCTATTTGTTAGCTACCTATTTACATTAAGTGGTTGAAATATTTTTCTTGAATGATTAATTGTGTGTGATAAAGTTTTTGATGATAAGATTTTTCATGTTAAATAATATAATCGTTTTAAACTACCTCTTACAAATATTAATTATCAATAATTTTAAGAAAGCCATTAATTAATCTAACCTTTTTAAATGTTACAAAAAAGACTAACGTTTATTTCATAGCATTGCTGTATTGAATAAATTTCATTATTTAGGCATGAATCGTGTCGATTTAAAAGTGGTTTTATTGGGTAACGCAGCTGTAGGAAAAACAAGTCTTGTGGAACGTTTCGTAAATGAAAGGTTTAACGAAAGTCTATCTTATCAAAATGTAAGTATAATCAGTAGTATATGCAATTATGCAATTTAGAATTTTGTACAATGACATAGTTCGAAATTGTTTATTGATATTATTTTATATAATATAAAATATATAAAAATATGAAAAATTAAAAATTTGTCATCAAATATCTAAAGGACAGAGAATATTTTAAATTATTTGCAAATTATAAAATTTAAATTGGATTGATTTAGGGAATATACTGATTTAGGTTGTCTTGTTTCTCTTAGTCCGCGAACTGGAAGGAATATTATAAAATAATGTTATTAAGATTTGCACTGAGAATCATCTAAGAGGTGCATCACAAAACAAATTAACCCAGTTCCACTTTCCTTAGACTATAGGCGCTGCATTTGCAGCTAAGCAAATGCAAGTCAATGGGAAAAGGCTTATCATGGGAATATGGGACACAGCAGGCAGTGAAAAGTAAGAAATTTTTAAAAATTCAAAATAAATTAATAAAATTATTAATTATCATAAAAAATATATTTTTAGATATGATGCTATGAGTAGAATATATTACCGCAGTGCAAAAGCTGCTGTTATTTGTTATGATATCACAAAATCAAATACATTTCAAAGAGCAAAATTTTGGGTAAGAGAACTTAGAAGTGTTGAAGAAGGATGTAAAATATACATTTGTGCTACAAAAAATGATATCTTAGAGCACGGTGCAGTTCCATCTCCTGATATTAGTGTTGTAGAAGCATATGCTACAGGAATTCAAGCTAAATTTTTTATTACATCTAGTAAAACTGGAGAAAATGTTGGTAAGGAATTATAATATAAGTTAAAATAATATTACAATATTTAATATTTATTAAGTCATTTTTATAGCTGAATTATTTAATGAAATTGCACAAGACTTTGTATCTGATCCAAATAATGTAGAAAAAATTGAAGAGATAATTGAAATAACTAATGAGTCCACAACTAAAGCAACATATTGTTGTCATTGAAAATATCAAAATCAGTATTAAAAATTATCACAATTTTCTTATATATTTATCATATTTTATATTATTTTATACAAGTGAATATCACAAATGTAAATTGATGCGGTATACTGTAACTTGATATATTATTGAATGTAAATGTAAGAAAATTCTTGCCCTTGAAGATTATTTTTAAATATATTCTATATTTTACTCTGTATTTTATTTTCCTTTGATGTGTTTCTTATTTGTTTTTTCAAATATGTATGTCCATATTTATTTAAATATATTGTAGAATGAAAATTATTATTTCTAAATTCTAATTACTTCAATTCAAAGGCAAAATTCTTATCATAAATATGCTTTTCTATTAACTGTAATATCAATATAAAATACTATTATCTTTCCATTTTCATAATATATGAAAAATTCAATATGATGCCAATACTCACTTTTTTGAAATCTGTAATAAAAAATATAATGAATGAATTTATAATGAATGTAATTTAAAAAAAATTCAAAAATTTATTTATTAATGTAATATATCATAAATATATCGTGAAGGATTAATGCAATTATTATAATAAAATAATTATTAATTTAAATAAAATTACCTTCTGTCATTTCTTGTTCTATTTTAATCATGTAATAGTATTATTTAATTAGATATTAACTGTGATTTGTATTTATAAACATATTTTTTGTAACATTATGGTGGTAAATTTGAAATGCAAATTTCTCTAACTTTTTCGTACACACCAAAAAATATGAATCCGCTAATTGTAAAACCACCGACTCTTGGTAGAAAGCCTGCAAAAAGTCTAAAGATATTTATCGATTATTGTTTGTAGCATAATAAAAAAAAATAACTTAACAAAGATTCATTATATACCCTCTAAAACCATAATTGCAATAAACTTTTTTTAACATCACAGATATTTTTATTTCATCTTTTCCTATCGCCATATTCGATAGCATTATTCTAGTCTTTGCAACATCTAAAGGTGTTGTTATACTTGCAGATATAGCAACTGTAAAAAATAAATATTTTTATAATTTTAAATATATTTTATATTTAATGAATTTGAAAATTGTAATTTGATCAATTTTTTTTCTTCAATCTCCCTTTTACCTGATAGCGATCCGCAAAGAGCACCCTCTAGAGGCGTGCATTCACGTTTCATATGCTTTTTCCAATGAAACTTAAAATACTCCCAAAGTGGCATCTGAATTAAACCGAATGGTAAATCTCGTATTACAGTACTTCCATAGCCACGATATAAAGTTCTCAATGGTAATTTATGCGGATCAGTTAATAATGCTTGTCTTCTCTGTTTCACTACTTCTACTGGGACTCGAATAAGACATGCAACCTATTAGTAATATCTCAAAATTTTTAAATAATACAAAGCTATCGTTTAGATATTTATAAATAAAAAGTAAAAAAGAAAAGATTGCATTTATTAACAAGATGATACAATAATATTTATTATAATATACTTTTCGAACTATAATACGATTATTATACATAATGTTAAATAATAAATTACCATTTCTCCCACTGACGCGGCAATCATATGTATAATTGAATGATATTGTTCGGATATTTGAGGTTCAAATACTATTTTAAAACTTTCATAAGTTAAAAAAAATAAGGAAGCTGTAAAAAATGATTTTATCAATATAATTTTTTATTAATGTTGTAAAATAAATTTTTATTTTAAATTTTTATCTTAATCTTTACCCGAGGGTGCGGATCCTACCATTACGGGCCCCAAACCTTTGTACAATTGTTTAAAACCGCCAGATTTTAAGAAACCATGTTGGCTTTGTAATCGTGTTTTAAGCGTATCCAAAGGAAATGATATGAAATCGCATATGGTTCCTGCGAGAGCACCTGACTATTATAAATTTAAAATTACTTTTATTGTAAAAATATGTGCATAATTTTATATAAAAATTTGATAGTTGAAAAAAATTATTTTTTATTTTAAATAAATTGTTAATTAATTATATAAAGTATAATAATTGAGTTTTATGTATGGTAATTATATAGTATATATATTAAAGACAATTTTTTCTTAAAAATATAACTTTTATTTACAAAAATAATTGTAAATACACGAATAATAGTAATATAGTATGATAGTATAATTATTTTATAAAGAAACATTTTTTTCATTTAAAATATTTAATTCCATAAAAATTATCATTAATTATTACTTATTTTTTAAATAAATTATAATAATTAGATATTATATTAATATATATTATCTTATAAAAAAACATATTTTCATTTAAAATATTTAAACATTTAAAAAATTTAATTATTTTTTTTAATAAATAAATTATAAAAATTATAAATAAAATTTAAAAAATAATTATATATATATAATAATATAAATATATAATATTTTGGTTTTCGATATATATGTAACAATTTAAAAAGTTTTTTTAATAATCATATATATTAATTAATTATATTTATTATATAGAAATTTACTTACGATTAATGAAGTAAGAAAAAAGTTTTTCGTGCTCATAGATGATGTTGATTTACTTTCTTGTAACATTTTCAGTTAATGGAATGCTTTTTTTTAATGTATTAACATTTTTAGACGAACATCGAGCAAATTTAAAGCATAATTAAAAACTATATTAATTAAATGTTTTAATTGATTAATAAATAAAAAATCATTGCTTTAATGATAGTTAACTATCATAAAATATTTGCTGAATCAACATGAAAAAATTAGGAATAATATCTACTTTAAAAATTTAACATTTTGTACATATATGTGAACAAAGTAACGATGTAAAATGAAAAGACCACGTGGACATTATTATATAATGATCACTTCACAAGTTAATCATTTACTTGTATAATTGTATTATACCTTCAAATCTATATTGTCATAGTCTGCTAGCGAAACCTAACCTTATCTCATGTACTCTGAAATTTTACTATCTGAATTAGGAAAAGCTTTTGTTTTGAAGACAGTTTTCCACTAGAAGAATAGATGAAGATGTGTGACAGAAAATTACTAGATATAATATATATAGAAAATTGATGTAATTACGTCATGAAATCTGTTTCATGCAGTATGAAGAAATTCTTAGCTTTTGTATTTGCCATGTTTCGATTAGTCAGGAGCACGAAAGAAATTTCTGAAAAATGATCAACTTGATGTTTTAGATATTGTTAAAGTGTTCACATAACCTTGAAATTCATTGACATCCTTTTCGGCGGGAATCTCGAAACATTTATGTTTTCATTTGATTGTCCATAAAAATGTCTCAAAATATTTTGAAAAGCAGCTTAGAAAATGCTTCCTTCAATATTATATTTCAGGTATTACACTATTGTTACAAATCTTAAAACTATTTTATTTTATAGCAAGAAATATCATTTTCTTTATGAGAAAACTTATAACTTTTATCACTTTTATAAATATGGAAATAGTATTAATAATTATAATTTTATTTATTTGTTTATTTGATAAAGTCTGATATTTTTATTAATATATAATAATTTCTAAGAAAATTAAAATATATCTAAGAAAAAATTATAACTTCTTTTTAGATATTGTGCAGAGGAGTTACTTTTGTTTTAAATGCTTTTGTTGTTCGTCATGTGGGTCAAGCTGTCTTAGGAGTCATAAATGTGAGGCTATTATTATTGGAATCAATGATCTTATTTCTATCTCGAGAACCATTCATGAAAGCATGTTTAACTAATACAGTAGAGCACAATTGGGCTCAAGTTGTAAATTTATTATGGATGACGTTAGTCTTTGGAATTTATTAATTATAATATAAATGAAATCTAAATAAATATCAATTATAAATACATTAATTGTAAATATCTTTTCAGGGTTCCTATATGTTTTTTAATGTCTTTGATGTTTGGCTATATTTGGCTTTCTGTTTTATCAACTTCTGAAACATTACCATCATATTATACATTTGCAGTTTGGGCAGTTGCTTTATCTTGTATTATTGAATTATCATCTTTAATTGTTCAACTGGTTGCTAGTGCATTTTTATTTGTTAGGTTGAAAGTAAGAATTTATGTTAAAAATAATAAAATGAATGAATTAAAAATAATTCAAAATTTATTTATAATCTATTATAATTAAATGTATTAAATTTTTTAGATTATACTAGATACTATCATGATTGCTATTCGTACTGTAACATTTGTTCCATTGATACTTCATAATCCAGAAAATGCATTGTTAGCATTTGGTATAGCTCAATTAGTTGCAGCAGTATTTTATACTACTAGTCATTATTTATATTTTCATTATTATATTAAAAAAATTAATAAGTGTAAGTTAAAGAGAAAAATGTCATTGAAAGATAGTAGTGATGAATATGTTGTGAGAGAATTTCCATTTAAAACACTAAAGGATTTTTTGCCTGGACAATTGGAAAATAAAGTATGTATTGAAATAAACCTCTTATATATTATGTATACAAACTGTTACTTTTAGGAATCATATCTAGATAAAAAATTGACTATTCTTACATGGAGTTTCTTTAGACAAGGATTTCTAAAACAAGTTTTAACAGAAGGGGAAAGATTAATTATGACGGTAATGCCAGTGTTAACCTTTACTGAACAGGTATTTATTCAATAATAAATATTAGTTTATTAAAATTATTTTTTATTTAATTTTATTTTCATATGTTTAAAGGGAACATACGAAATTATAAATAATTTAGGTTCTTTAGCTGCAAGATTTATTTTCCGTCCAATAGAAGAAAGTGGTTATTTTTATTTTACCCAAATGGTAAAACGAGACAAACCAGTTAATGATCAAAATCCTGTAGGTATCAAATGAAAAATTTAATTTGTATCTAAATATTATAAATTACTAAAAATATAATAAAAATATAATAAAAAATAATAAAATTATTTCAGATTAAAATACAAGAAAGTGTAAATGTGCTTACACATTTGTGTTCAGCTGTTATGTCAATTGGTTTAGTTGTTTTGGTATTTGGACAATCATATTCAAGTACATTATTATGGTTATATGGTGGTGCTAAATTAACTTCACATCTACCAGTACTTTTAATGCGAGCACATTGTTTAGCTATATTACTTTTGGGAATAAATGGAGTAACAGAATGTTACACTAATGCAACAGCTGATAGTACAACTATAAACAAGAGTAATTTGATTATGATTTACGAATCAATTGCATTTTTATGTGCATCCTATTTGTTTGCTATTTGGTTTGGACCAGTTGGTTTTATCCTTGGAAATTGTGTAAACATGAGCTTAAGAATTCTACATTCTATTATTTTTATCAATAAAAGATATAAAGATACAATTTACCGTCCATTACGTGGATTAGTACCAAAGCCTATGTTTTCTGCTTCTCTTCTCATAGCAGCATTGACCACTAATGTGTCTCATGTAAAGAAATTATATTATTTATTTTTTTATATATTAGTAGAAAATTTTCTACTATAGATTATAATTTTTATGTTTCAGGCTTATTTTTTCCCAAATGAGAAGATATTGCACTTAATTATTGGGATGATAATGTTTATGATAGTACTTGTATCTTGGATATATGAGCATCATGATTTAATTAGACTTGGTACAAACAAATGGTATGAAAGAAAAAATATATATAAAAAAAATGATTGACCTTAAATATATTTCTAATTATGGTTTCTTGATATTTATCTAAATTGTCTACAAAGGTGCTATAATATATAACTTCTATTAAAATATAAAATTTAATAGTTATGTATTTTCTATATTATTGTGATCAAAATCAAGTACAAGTTTTCTTATCTTAGAAAATACATTATAAAATTACTTATTTTATAATGTAATAAATTAAGTTTATGTATAAACAAAATAACATATACATAATGAAGTTTAAATATAATCTATTAAATAATATTATCAATTTGAGTAAAAAACTATTTTACATAGAAACATCCTTATAAATGGCACCTACTACTGCACCTTGGCGTTGTATAAGGCATTTCCTATAAAATAATTTATGATGTTTTTAATATTAATTTAATGCAATTTTTTATTTAAAAAAATGTTAAATTTCAAAGTTGTTTAATAAATTTGTTGAATAATAATTTTTATATTATATGGATCTAATTCTAATACAAAATAAAATAAATTTTTTAATATTACCTGTTATCATTTTGGAGAGAAATAATTGGAGATGGTGATTTAGGTTCTAATTTTGCAACTTGATCAGCAATAGCTGCAATTATTCCTGCACTGTCAGTAGATGCATTTCCTTTAACTAAAAAAAATTTATTTTAGGATTATGTTTTCAAACGATATTAAATTTATTAAATTTAAACATAATTAGAAAGAAATACCTCCTAAACATAATCCAGCATGATCAGCCAATATACAACCAATGATACCTTCAGTATTATTTCTATTAAAAATATTGAATTTTAATAATGATTTTAGTTTTTCAATAAATATTATGATTTGATTTTATTTATTTTATATTTTTCATTATATATAATGTTTCATCAAATAAATACAATTTTCAATTTTCAATAGCTATTTAAGGTTAAGTATTATAATTTTTGCATTTTTTATATAGAAAAAACAATCTAAGTATTGAATATTAATAAAAATAAGAATTATTTAATTATTTTTAAGTTTTATAAAAAATTTATATCAATATAATAATGCAAACACTGATTATAATAATAGTTATATCGCAAGGATAATATGAAATTTTTTCTATTAAACTTACACATCATCTAATGTTTTTTCTAGATTCTTTTCCATTTCAAAATTTAAATTAATTATAAAACACACAAAATATAAATAATTACTCGTTAAAAAAATTGGTTTTATATGATTTTCATAAATGACTTCTCTTCATTTATAGAAAATTTATATACAGTTATCTTATTCTGAAAACACATTTAATTGAACAATTCAATACATCGTAATAGCAAATTCCTTATCGATTATCATTCTAAATGATGTTACAAAAAAGAATCTTTGTAATTTACATATTTATAAAATTCAAAACAAAGTTTCATTGTTAATATGATTAATATGATTAATTAAATTTGATAAAACAACTTTTTATTATTAAATAATTGTATACAAATTTTATTGATATAATAAATTACTTTGTTATAACTAATATATAAAAATGTTTTAATCATTACATATAAATTATATGTTAATATTACAAACATAATTTCATTCAAACAGAATAAAATATTTTTTTAATTTTTAATTTTTTTAAATAAAAATAATAAATAAATTGTATTATTTTTATATGATTATATAAATAATAAATTATAATTAATATTAATTCAATACTTATAATTATTATTAATTCAATACTGAAATACAAAAATGAATTTTTTTTATGAAGAATCTTATACATATATAAGTGTATATGTACTTCGTCACCCTATATAAATAATATCACGTCGTAAGTGATTTGGACGACGTGACTAGTACAGTGACAATCATGGCTGGTAAGTGTGGAGATCTGCTCTGTTTTCTTTCAATTATTTTTACGACAGAACTATGAAAAATAGGAAAAATATAAAACTTCTATGTTAATATATTTTTTTACTTTATTTTTTTTTTATTAAAACAAAATATTTTTCAATTCATTACAGTATTAAATTTGCATAATATTATGCATTTACTGTCCTAATTTAAGAAATCACTAGAAAAAAAAATGATTTGAATTGTATTTTTCTATTTCTATTTTCTATCTTATTATTTCATGATATATATATCTATTTTAAATTACTAATTTTAACATTAAATTAAGGAATTTTTTTTAAATTAGAAACATGATATAATATTACTCATGATACAAGATTATGACACCTGTTACATTTGACAATTTACTAGTATCTACATAGTTTATATTTTTAATGAACTCTTAATTTTACAACAATTGAAGTAAGAAAATTTAAAAGGCAATTTAAAAAACAACCTTTTATGTTAATGTTTTAATAAATAACGAATAATAAAAAAATAAATATATAATAATTAATAATAATTAATGAAAATGTCATTAAGTTTTAATTGAAAATTAAATATTTGAGAAATTTTGATAAACTTATGTATGTATGTATATATATATATATATATAAATTAAATATTTATATCACTATTTATAACTATAATTTTACATATAATATTTATATAATATAATGTTATTATGTATTATAATATTGTTATCATAATATTATATAAAAAATATAAAAAAATATAATAAATAATATTTTTTTATTTAATACAATTCTAATAAAAAAAATTATTTTCATTTAGAAAATCCATATAATCATTTAATGAAGTCTATTAAAATTGGACTTAAAGAATATAAATATTTTGATATTACCAATTTTGGGAAAAAATATGGTATGTATTAATAAATTATAAAACATATTTTTCGATATAAAAAAAAAATATTATTTTTGAGTTATATATTATTTGTAGATAGATTACCATATTCAATCAGAGTGCTTTTGGAAAGTGCAGTTAGGAATTGTGATAATTTTCAAGTGAAGAAATCTGATGTTGACAGACTTTTAAACTGGGAACATAATCAGACTCTTGAAACAGGAATAGAAGTAGCTTTTAAACCAGCTAGAGTAATATTACAAGTAAGTATTTTTATAAGAAATATAAATTCCTATATATAAAATAAAATATGAATAAAAATGAAATAAAATTCTATAAATTGAATTTTAACTTAAGATTCATTTTATAAATAGGACTTCACTGGAGTTCCAGCAGTTGTGGATTTTGCAGCTATGAGAGATGCTATCAAAAGACTAGGAGCAGATCCAGATAAGATAAATCCTATCTGTCCATCAGATCTTGTTATTGATCACTCGATACAAGTTGATTTTTTTAGAACGTAATTATTATTTTTGTTACATCTCATTTGATCAAAAAATTAAATAATAGAATACTTATCAGATCAAAAGATAATTATTATAATATGATTAATAATAATCATTTTAAATTTATTATTTTGTTTGCAAATTTGCATTAAAGTAAATGATAATATATAATATTTAATATTTAATTTATAATATATAATATATAATATTTAAGATAAACATAATAGTAATTTAATAAAATTTAATAAAAATAATTTAGTTTTAATAAATTTATATATAAAATTATACATAAGTTATAATTTTTTTCAGTAAAGATGCTTTAAAAAAAAATGAGGAAATGGAATTTCAAAGAAATAAAGAACGATTTATGTTTCTAAAATGGGGTACTAAAGCATTTCAAAATATGTTAATTGTACCTCCTGGAAGTGGAATAATACATCAAGTAAATTTGGAATATCTAACCAGAGTTGTATTTGAGACAAATGGCATATTGTATCCTGATAGTGTAGTTGGAACAGATTCTCATACAACTATGATCAATGGTCTTGGTGTAGTTGGTTGGGGTGTTGGTGGAATTGAAGCAGAAGCAGTAATGTTAGGTCAGGCAATGTCAATGCTATTACCAAAAGTAGTGGGATATAAATTAGAAGGAACTTTGAGTCAATATGCGACTTCGACAGATCTTGTTCTTACAATCACAAAGGTAGAGTAATTTTTCTAAAGTTTTAAAAGAATATTTGTAAATTGAATTACAAAAAATGATATTATTATTCATGTACTTGCAGAATCTTCGTCAAATTGGAGTTGTTGGAAAATTTGTAGAATTCTTTGGTCCAGGAGTTTCTCAACTTAGCATTGCAGATCGCGCAACAATTTCGAATATGTGTCCAGAATATGGTGCTACAGTTGGTTTTTTCCCTATTGATCAACAAAGTTTAGTATATTTAAGACAGACAGGTATATAAACTGCAAAAAAAAGAATTAATCATAATAATAATATATTTAAATTTAGATTTAATTTATGAAATATTTTTATAGGACGATCTGAAGAACATATTAATAAAATAGAAAAATATCTCACCGCTGTACATATGTTAAGAGACTATGATGATGAAAATCAAGATCCAAACTTCTCAGAAGTAGTCACTTTGGATTTAGGAACTGTGGTATCTAGCGTGAGTGGCCCTAAAAGACCTCACGATCGTGTATCCGTCGTAGATATGAAGACAGATTTCAAAAATTGTCTTACTAATAAGGTAGGAATTTTTTCAAATTATCATAATATTTATAATATAGAATATTATTCAATTTATTAATATTTGTTATGTGAAAAGTGTGATTGTGCAATAACATGCAATAGCGATGATTAATCAGTACTCGTATGGGACAAACATAACCCAGTGACGATCAATTATTACCGTCAAACAGGATCACGTTCATCCCATGATGTACTTATAGTATTCAGTGCGTCGTTTCATGTGCTTTTGAAGCGTGATAATACTTGTTAAAGCTCCTTGGTAAAGGTGAAGAAAGGCGAAAGAATACCAGGTAACTACTGCTGTGATATGAATCTTTTACGGCAACATATCACAGCAAGAGTTCCTCCGAATTCTTTCATCTAAACAATTTTCTGGAGTGCATATATACGTGTAAAGCGCCAAATATTTGAAAATTCAATTACCTTGCATCTTGATAAAAAATTTCAGTCACATTTCATGAAGCTATGTCTCGAATATCTTGCCTTGCTGAACTAGCTTTATGGCCTTTCAATTCACCATACAGTTAGCTCACCAAAGAAAAATAAACGGGACGATTTAGTAGAAATATGTGAAACAGCTTAACAATATAATTTTCATTAAGTATTTGTTGATGATTATTGATTCTCTCTATTAGGGACGAGTATTTCGATCTAGTCACGATTTCTTTACAACGTTGCACTAGATGAATACTTCGTCCCTAATAACAAGAGTATAAAGTTTCACAAATATTTTTGATACTCATAGAAGAACAGAGGCGGACATTGGATGAATCCTACCCGGTGAGGTTTTTTTTCCAACCACACCGGACGAGATTTCATCCGACAGCAGCCTCTATATTGTACAATATTGTACACCAAAATATACTTTTTTTTTTTTTGATTAAATTCCTTTGATTGATGGCTTTAATAAGATCAAAATACCTATATCAACCATTGATGAACTTTAAAATTATTAACAAATCACACTAATAATTCAAAAATAAATTATCACAATCAAAAAAGAGTAATTAAACTTTCACAATCATAATTTACAAAGATTGATTTTTTAATATGTTAAAGTAAAAATTCAATAATATTAAGATAGAACGTCGAAATCACTGACTAACTTTGATCACGACGACTGACCATCCGCACTAGTTGATAGCACACAGATGACCTTCCACTCTTGTCGAACCATGCTTATATATGCTTTGGAGGTGTCTCCCTCCCCACTTTCTGAAGCAATACCGACCATCCGCACCAACTCAGTGAACATTCCATGAATTTCCTATATTTTCCTTGACATGTCAGGTAGACGCTTTTTTTTATTACCTTACTGTATACATACAATCTGATTGTTGTCCTGTAAACAGTCGTTATGAAATCACGTATTGTTTACGGGATAATATCAGGAACATCAGCCAAAACAAATCTATGACAAATCTGTCTTTCAGCAAGAGTCACTGAAACATTTTATTTACTGATTATTTTGTAGAATTTAATGAAATTATTTTGATTCTCTTAAGAAAACTCGAATATATAAAAAATAATTAGATAAAAATATATCTTTATTTTATAAAAAATAATAGACAAAGATATCCTTATATACTACATATAAGTTTCACTTTAAAAACGTAAAATAAAAATAAATTGTCAAAAATAAATAAACATTAATTAATAAAGATCAAATAAATATTAATTTTTAATGATAATTTTAATTATTTGTATCATATTCAGAAACGTATTGAACTTCTTTAATAATTTACTTAATATTACTTAATTGCTCGTATGTAATTTCATGATTATTATTGATTATAAATATAAATATAAATATAACTTTATTGATTAATTTAATTATTATACAATGAATCAAAAAATATTTATTTAATAAATTTTTAATACAATAAATAAATCATTTAATCAATTTTTAACAAATCCTCTCAATAAATGATTTTATGAACAAAATATTAAGATAATTTCTGTATTTCTGTATTCAAATCGAGTAATGTTTACACGAACAATTTTCTCATATTTTTCGGAGTTCAAAAATGAGTCATGTATATATATGAACCAGACATATTGTATGCTTTAGATTACTAGATTTTAATAGTGAAGCGACAGTCAAGTTATAAATATTGGTTAAAAGCGGTAACGATAATTATGCGAACGTGATGAAGCAACAACGGGCGCGCGTGATTTTAAAAACAAGGTACCGATCGATTTCTATTGAAAGATGTTCAACATTGGAATCGCATTACTATGCTATCACAGTAAGGTTTTTGCTGAAAACTCATCCACGTGAATCATAGAGAGCTGACTGTTCCTCCATGACATGTAATTCAACGTCCTTTTGTAATCGGCTTTTTGACTCTACCATGATGGATGCACCATGCAAGAATTACTCTATTTTTTTTGTATAAAAGTCTAAGAAATAATTTGTTTTACAAATATTACAATACTATATATTTTTTACATAATTCTCTAAAAATAAATATATAAAAGAAAATTAGATAAATTAAATGTTATAAAATGAAATTCATGACTAATAATTTTAAATGTTGATCAAAAAAGATCTTAAATATCATTGCTTAAAAAACAATAAAAAAATTTATTACCATTTATTATTGTAATTTCAATGAAATAATATAAAAACATAATTTTATAAATCTAATCTTATAAGATATTTTTAATAAAAAGTTTTTAAAAAAATTATATAATTTTTTGTTAAGAAAGAAAAAAATGGAATATTAGATAATGAATATTATATTCATAATAAAAAAAATATTTCATAAATTGATAAAAATGATAATATTAATGAAATGATTGCAATTGCAATCAATTTCTCAATAAAAAAAATATTTTATACGTACCAATGATCGATCGATCTTAAATTTCGTTAAGAACACGAACGACTGTCTTCGATGAGGCTACGAACGACGTGCAACCTTACTGAAATTGCTGATACAACATCCATTCATTTTGCAAAGCTCACGCATTTTGTTGCATACCACCGTCTTATATACAGATATTCGCCGTATCTTATATTGCAAACGATTGCTTTTATTATCTATTTATATTATTTCTGAAAGATCTTTTTTTTATGAATCTTTTACGAATGATAATAATTACTACAGTAAATATTTATTTGCAGTAGAAATTTCTTCATAAAAGAGAAATTTCTTCATTAAATTCATTAAATTTTTTCTATTTTTTTATAAAATCAAAAGAATGAGAAAATAACTGTTTCGTCGGTATAGAATTTGTGAAAGTAATCCTTAAAAGCAAGGAAAAGCTGAAAATGTCTGTAATTGTTCAAAAGTGCATATTCTGTGTATTCCTTAAGCTGAGGGATTCTTAGGGAAAATTTAAGTTGTCGATGCGTATACCTGCCGAAAACTAATTGCCATGGTCACAATAGTTTCAGACGAAATGGAAAACTTTATTAAAAGAATATTTGAATAGTAATATTTCTAAAGAAATAGTAATATTTCTAAAGAAGATATACGATTGGTTCCTATTTATTGTTTGACAAATTTATGTAGAATTTTATTACATTAATAGTAGATATATTACTTTAGCAATATACTAGATGTTTTAAGAAATTTATGAAAAAATTAAAAAAAAAATTTAAATATCATATATATATATAATATTATAATAATATTATATATATTAATATTATATATATACATTTTATATATATATATAAAATATCATAAATATTTCAAAATGAGAAAAAAAATATGTAAACATACAATGAAAAACAATTTTTTATATTATCTTGCAAGAAAATTTATTTAATTCAAAAATTTTTTAGATTTTAATGAAAATTTGTATTTATACAAAATATAATGGAGCAATTTTCTTATTGACGAAAAAATTTTTTGCAGAGTTTTGGATAATCAATTCTGAAGTACTTTCAGTATTTTGTTTTAGATACAATTTTGCTTGGAAATTTTTTTTATAAGAAGATAAAATATTAAATTCTATTTTGTAACTTAAAATTTTGCTTATTTATAAATTATCTCATATCATTATAGAATTATATTTAAAAAAAATAAAAAAGCATCGAATGTTTAAACGTTAATTTTTCTTCTTTAATATTCTGTTAAAAAAATTATTTCATATATAATTCATTACACTTTATACATAATTTATACATAATTTAATTAAAAAATAAAAATTTAATTTTTTAATTTTTTAAACAAGTTTTTTATTTTTAATGAAATTAATAATATAAGTACACTATCTTTTAAACAAATTAACATGAAATTGTCATTATCAATATATGTTTTTTCAGCAAATTATTAATTTTTGAATAATAAATCATGTTTAAATGCAATCAAGATTTATTGTCATTATAATTTTCGAGATTTTATGAAAAAATTTAATTTACAGTTTGATAAAGACATTTGTTATCAATTTTATATAAAAAAATATTTTATTATATATTTGTTATATTTATATATAACAAATATTAAATATATTAAAAAAGTATTTATTTTTTATAAAATTTTCTAAATATTTTTACAATAAAAAATTAATAGTTGTTATAAATAAATAATATTAACAAGTATGTTACATGTTGTATATACAATTTTATAATATATGTATATATTATATATATAAATTTATATTTATATATATATTTATTATTAAATTATTATTATATAAATATATATAATTATAAATAAATATATATAAATTATATATAATAAATATATTTATTTATATATATTAAATTTATTTTAATAAAAATTTTTAATTTGAAGTATTATGGAAAAATTTTTTCAGGTAGGATTCAAAGGATTTGGTTTAAGTCCTGAAAAAGTAGATACTGTATGTTTATTTGAATATGAAGGGAAGGATTATAAATTAAGACACGGTTCAGTAGTTATTGCTGCAATTACTAGCTGCACTAATACTAGTAATCCTAGTGTTATGCTTGGAGCAGGTAACTTGTTTTGTAAAATTTATCACATATTACATTTTTCTAAAAATTTTTTATTTAAAGATTAAATAATTTTGAAACGATATGTATCTTTTAATTTTAGGTCTTCTTGCAAAAAAAGCTGTAGAAGCTGGTTTATATGTTCATCCTTACATTAAGACATCATTATCTCCAGGATCTGGAGTCGTTACTTATTATTTAGAAGAAAGTGGAGTGATTCCTTATTTATCAAAATTAGGATTTGATGTTGTTGGTTACGGATGTATGACTTGTATTGGTAACAGCGGTCCCCTTCCAGATATCATAATTGAAACTATTGAAAAGGTAATGGAACATTTATATAAAACATTAAATATTTAATTTTTTTATATTATATAATTTTAATTTGTATTTCAATCATTAATTTTTCATTTTATATAATTAGAATGAACTTGTATGTTGTGGTGTATTGTCCGGTAATCGAAATTTCGAAGGTAGAATTCATCCAAACACACGAGCAAATTATTTAGCATCACCACTTTTAGTAATTGCTTATGCTATTGCTGGAACGGTAGATATAGATTTTCAAAAAGAACCCCTTGGTAAGGATATAAATTAATTTTATTTTATGATTTTTCGAAAATTTCATTATGTCAAAAATATATAGGGCATCGAATGGATGGCACTCCGGTATTTTTACAAGATATTTGGCCTACTAGAGCAGAAATTCAAGTCGTGGAACAAAAATATGTAATTCCGACTATGTTTAAAGAAGTTTATGATAAAATCGAAAAAGGTAGTACTAGTTGGGCAAATTTAGTAGCTCCTGATGGTAAATTGTATCCATGGGATCCATCTTCTACCTATATAAAACATCCACCATACTTTGATAATTTACAAAAGGTAAATTATATGTTATGTTTTTATATATTTTTATTTTATATTTAATAGTTATTTAGTTTATTTTCTTTCATAAATTTTTCATGCGTTTACCAAATAATTTAATATTAATACTTATTATAATTAGGAATTACCAGAAATAAAACCAATTACTAAAGCACGTGTTCTTTTAAATCTTGGAGATTCTGTTACGACAGATCATATTAGTCCGGCTGGTAGTATTGCACGCAATTCTCCAGCAGCACGATATCTTGCAAATCGTGGGTATGTTCAAAAGATAATTAAAAGTGTTTGTGAATATTTACTTTATTTAATTTATTTTTCTTTATTTTTAGATTAACACCAAAAGAATTCAATTCTTATGGTGCGCGTAGGGGTAATGATGATGTAATGGTACGAGGCACATTTGCTAATATTCGTTTAATGAATAAATTTATCGGAAAAGCTGGGCCACGTACGATTTACATTCCTACTAAGGAAGAGGTTTGTAAAAATAAAAATTGATTGAATTAGACTGTATAATATTCTTGTTTTTTTAGATGGATATTTTCGATGCAGCTGAATTATATATAAAAGATCAAACGCCTTTAATAATTCTTGTTGGCAAAGAATATGGATCTGGATCATCAAGAGATTGGGCTGCAAAAGGACCATATCTTCTTGGAATTCGGGCAGTTATAGCTGAATCATATGAAAGAATACATAGGTAAATTTTTTTTAACAAATACGAAGAAATATATTATATTTATAAACAAAAAAAATTATAGAATTATAAAAAATGTAAATTATTTAAAGATATTTAATATAAATATTTTACATTTAACAATTTTTTCTTTTTTTTATGATATTCCAGGTCAAATTTAGTAGGTATGGGTATTATTCCACTAGAATATCTACCTGGACAAAATGCAGAATCTTTAGGATTGACTGGTTATGAAGTTTATAATATAACTATTTCCGAAAATTGTCAACCAGGTCAAAAAATTACCGTTAGCATGGATAATGGTAAAAGATTTGAAGTAATTTTACGATTCGATACTGAAGTAGATTTAACATATTTTAAACACGGTGGTATTTTAAATTATATGATTAGACAAATGCTTTGATAGTATTATCAATTAATTAATAAGTTATAAAAAGTTACTTAATATAATACTTAATTTCGGGTTTAGATTTGCAGCAATCTGAATGTATCCATATTCTTATTTATAGTAAGAGAAATTAATTATAACGAATGTTACTTCTTTGCTAAAATATAAAAAAAAAAAAAACAAAAAAATATATATATATTAAATACATTAAATACATTAAATCTGTTTGGATAAATATATTTATTTTTGCGTATTACAAACTTTTGCCTTCAAATTTTGTCAAATTACGAAATTTCTTATATAATAGATATTGAAAGCTATTTGAGTGATATATTAATTACAATTTATGAATGATCGTGCAATATTCATATAGTAAATCAAATTTCTTACATTTTATAATAATTGTTTTTAAAAAAAGAATCTTATAAAAATTAATACTTGTTAACATAATAAAGTGTTAATAATTATTGCAATTGTGACTTTTTAATCTACAATTAATTTTCCAACATTGAAGAAAGTAAAATATTTTAATCTATATCAGTCAATATTTCTTATTTTGTATTCAATATTATGCATTTATTTATACAATCCAGTTTGAACCAGTTCTATTTGTTCCTAATTGTCCGTATTTAAGAATTTCTTTATAGTTTGATTCTTTGTAAGCATATCCTGAGAATTTCAATTCAACTAAATGTTGATCTGTTGCTCCATATAAATATGTATTATCAAAGCTTAGAGAATAAACGGGACTGGACATTCTACGAAGATTCATGAAATAGAACTATAAAAAGAAAAACACACTATGAGTGTGTTATATAATATATATATATATATATATATAATATATATATATATAACTGAATTGTATGTTTAAAATACATTATAGATACTGACTTGTACATAATTTTTCTGTCTTTGATCCCAGAGAACAGCTTTGCAATTAAATTTAGTTCCAGTGATCATAGTATACTGATAATCTGATGATATACAATATAAAGTTGCATCTGTTGGATCTGGCCATGAATACACACATGTTCCCGTTCTAGAACAATTATTATTTAATAATATCAAATTTAAAAATAATAATGTTATAATAACATTAATAAATTTTAAATAATTATTAATTATTAAATATTATTTAATTAATAATTAATAATTATTAAAACTATGAAAGATTCTTAATATTCTAATATATATACATATGAAATATTTAATAAATATTATTTACCTTAAATCCCATTTCCGAACATAAGTATCATATCCACAAGTAAGTAGAATTTGAGGACTATCCCAAACCATATCTAATGTTCCTGCACATCTTCTTTTATCTGGCTTTAATATATCAGATTCAGTATAACTAGAATTATTATAAAGTATAAATTTTATAAAATAGGACATTTCCAACAATTTGTAATTTATTATTTAAATAATAACTTACTATTCAAGATCAAATATATGAAGATAGGATCTATCACTATCACCAGCAGAACCAACAGCAACTTTTTTACTTGTTGGATCTGCTGAAAGAGAACATACCCATTCCTCAATGTTTATTGTTGCCAAAGGTACATTTAAAATCTTTTGTCCAACAGGACTCCAAATCTAAATATTATTATAATATTATTTTATAAAGAATAATTTTAATTATTAATAATATAAAAGTTATTGTTTGTTATTTTTAATATAAAAATTATTGCTTGTTATATGTAAACTAATATTTAAAATTTAAAATATTACCTTCACAGTTCCATCACTAGAACCTGATATAATTGCACTAAAAGTTTCATCTAATGCATTTACATTTCTAGAATGTGCTCTATCTATACTAAAGTAAAAACCTATATTTTGATCACACTGTGATTTTGTCCAAAATTGTATACTTCCATCCCTGAAAACAAATTTATATATAAATGAAATAATAATGTATAAAATATTAGCTTAATTATTTTCTTTTATTAGTAATTTAATAATAAGTTTACAAGTAAATACCTGTGACCTGTAATGATATATTCATTTTTGACAATAAATTTGCATATATCACTTCTAACATTATCACTAATAAATATGCGATTATTTTCTTGAAATGGTTCTATACGTTTAAAACCATACAATTGATTTCCACCACTCCACCATAAAATATCTTTGGTTAATTGAATCCTTGGTATAAGTTTTCTGTTTTGAGAGAAGAGAATTTTCTTCTCATATTTACCATATTGCCAATTGTTTGAAACATGCCACTTTGTACGCAAACATAGTAATGAATTGCATCTATTAAATTTAAATATTCAAACCTTAATAAAATTTTAATATAACTTCAATACATCTTATTATGTAGAATCTTTAATTGATATTTTAATTATTTAAAAATAGAATTTGTATATTAATTTTTATTTCGAAAGAATTTTCGAACTGATCCTTCACTTTATCTTATCTTTTATATTAATTATCAATATATTATGGATAGTATTATGGAACATTATGGAACTGAGAACCATCTGGAGCTTTCTAAATTTTGTATATATATTAAGATAAAAGCTTCTTGTTTCTTGAATCAATGTATATTATGAACTTTGTAACACATAGAACTGTGCGAACAAAATCACGTCATCGATGACAACTAAAAACTGTGTCAAAAATAATATATTATATACCGAAAAAATTCTTAAACATAACCTAACGTACCTTTCGCGAAACTGTCTCGAAGTTTGATTTGTCACAATCGGTTGTTTACTCTTCTTAATCCAAAGTGTTTCTTCCCGTATAATATCGTAGAAACGTGTACATACTTCACTAAGTCGCACCAAATCAAACGCATGGCAATAATCGAAAATTAAAATCAAAACATCAGATGGCAAAGTGTCCAAACGCCACACACCTGTCATTTTGTCAAGCCAATCACGTGGCGACCAAAGATACAACAGCTGTTCAACTTTAGCGTTACATAAATTGTCACATGTAAAAAATTTTTTTTTCTTAACAAAGATATAATATCATAAGAATTAAATCAAGAATATATAAAATTTTATTTATATTTTTATTTAATTATATTATTTATATATTTATAATATATTTAAAATTAATAAAAATATTTATTGATAAAATAATAATTATTAACAACAATATTCATTTGCATTGCAAAAATATGTCTAATTTATATTTGTAAAATTAGCTCTCTGCAATTGTACATTTTTTTCCTGCTTCTTCAGGTGTTTTCCATTCTATATTATTCTTTGTATCTATAATAAATTATATTTTTTTAATAATAATAATATAAAAAATAAAATGTTCAAGAATTTTCAAGATAATTTAATAGAATTATAAATTAATAAATTTATTACCTGGTATCATATCTTTTAAATATTTTAGGTACAAAATAAAATATATAAATGCTGTTATAGCGGCAATCGATGAAAATATTCGTAATGTTGTTACTCCTCCAAATAACTTGTATAATATTCCACCTATTAAACTTCCAATTGCAAAACCTAAAATAATATTAATATTTTTATAATATCTAAAAAAAATACTATAATATCTAAGAACTATTTGTTTAAAAACCAATTAATTATAAATTTTATTTACCAAAACCATCATCCATACCAGCTACAATTCCCTGAATCGTAGCTGAGGTACCAGGTGGAGCAATTTTGCTTGCGTAGGCAACTATCGTTGTATAACAAAGTGCATAAGTAGGTCCTTGCATAAATAATTCTATTGGTATTACCCACCATGGATTTGATGCTAATGAAATTAATCCAAGTCGTAAAGCATAACATATAAAACAGAATGTAAAAGTATATCCGAATCCTAATTTCTTTAAGATTTTGCCTATAAAAAAGTATGAATAAATATCAAAATTACATAAAATATAAAATTTAATTATATAAATAAATAACTTACCAGAGAAAGAAAAAAATATTACTTCACCACCTAGAGTTTCTGCGGCCACAATTAAACCTTCTATTAATTTAATTTTACTCATGCAATTAGTTGTCATAGCAAGGTCTTCCAAGTACCTATTTGAAACATATTATTTTTGTATGACTCTTTCATACTTTTTTATTTATCATATATTTCGAAAAATTTTAATTATTTAAACAAAGGTTATATTATTGAAATAAAAATTTACCAAAATAAGAAATAAATTATAAAGCTATCAAGAATGCCAGCAATTGTTGCAAAAGAGAGAAATATAATTATAGATTTCAATTTTAAAAGTTTTATAACATCTTTCAATATATTTGTGGACGCTGTCATTAATGGTAGCTGTAAAAATTATTTTTAATAAATTGTTTATAACTAGAATATTATTTTAAATGTTATAATAGATACTTACATCCAATTTTTTACAACAAAATAAATCAATAATTGTGAATATAAGAATAAGTAAAAATGCAGGTGTATATGTTTTAATAATTTCTCCTTTAGACCAATAATCTACTGCATAACCAGCTAAAAAAGCTGAAATTCCAAAACCTATAGTTCCCCAAACACGCTGTCTACCATATCCCATTTGACCATTTTCACCTGAAAAATGAATAACAATAAACTAAAATTAAATTACTTATATTTATTATTAATAATTTTAAATAAAAATAAATGAAATTATATAATACCTAATATATCAAAACAAATTGCATCACTCATACAATTGCTTACATTGAAACCAATATTACCAAGAGACATTAATAAAACAAAACTCCAAAAAGTTATAGATGTATATAGACAATAACTATCTTCAAATTTATCACAGATAACATTGCAATTATTATTTTCAGAACAATATGAAGTATTTTTATCAATTAAACATGTGGAATTTGAGACAAAATTTATTTCTTCATTAATTGCTTGAAATTGTATTGATAGAGAGAAATTTTTATTTGTACAAGTCCAATGGCACATAGCATTCTTTACTCCCATACATAAATATGGCTTGGAAATATCCTAAAGTAGAAAAATTAAAAAATGTTTAATTTTTAATTTGTATAAATAATTTATATAATTTTTTGTAATTAAAATAAAAAATTACTTGTGGTGTACAATATGGTAATAAATCACAGGATACATTATTAATACTATGATCTGGAAAAACTGGACCTGGAAGCACTGATAAAAAGTACATACAAATATAACAACTACTTGTTGCTGTTAATAATAT